TACACCCGAAGAGATCAATCGGTTTGCTCGTCTTGATATCGACTTGGAAGCCATCACTTGGAACCGCGTCATGGATACGAACGATCGTTTCTTGCGAAAGATTACGATCGGGCAGAACGATACGGAGAAGGGCAACACGCGTGTTACATCCTTTGATATCTCCGTTGCAAGCGAGTGCATGGCTGTACTCGCTTTGACCACTGGGCTTGAGGATATGCAAGAACGACTTGGTGCAATGGTTGTCGCCACGGGCAAGCGAGGAGATGCGATTACAGCAGATGATTTGGGTGTCTCTGGAGCATTGGCTGTTTTGCTAAAGGATGCTATTAAACCTAACCTGATGCAAACTCTCCAGGTAATTACTCATTGCATCAGCCCGAAGTATTTGCAGTTCACTTATCTTAATGTTGCTCTATTAGGGAACGCCAGTCTTTGTTCACGCTGGACCCTTCGCAAATATTGCCCATGGAAATTCTTCCATCCTAGCTGACCGCATTGCATTGAAGCTTGCTGGTACAGAGGAAGGCGATTCAGCTGAGCAAGTCGGTTATGTCCTTACTGAAGGTGGTTTTGGTGCCGACATGGGCATGGAAAAATTCTGCAATATCAAGTGTAGGATGAGTGGGCTCAAACCTGATGCCGTTGTCATTGTTGCCACCACTCGTGCACTTAAGATGCACGGCGGTGGGCCAGAAGTTACGCCAGGAAAACCTCTTGCAGAGACCTATACGAAAGAAGACCTCGTAACGTTGAAAGAAGGGACGAAGAACCTTGTAAAGCATATCGAGAATTCGCGGAAGTTCGGTCTCAAGGTTTTGGTTGGAATCAATCAGTTCTCGTGGGTATTCCCTCAATTGTTTTCTACTCAACTCAAACTATAATTCCCAGATCCGATACACCCGCTGAACTCGAGTGCATCCGTGAAGCCGCCCTAGCTGCTGGTGCAGATGCTGCTGTCGTCTCTAGTCACTGGAGTCATGGAGGTGCAGGTGCTCGTGGGCTTGCTGAAGCTTTGGTCACCGCCGTTGAGGGCGAGTCCAACTTCAAATTCCTTTACGATCTAAACCTTCCCATTGAGAAAAAGATCGAAATTATTTGCAAGGAGATCTACGGAGCTGATGGAATTACGCTCAGTGAGCTGGCTCAAAAGCAGGTGGACACTTACACTCAACAAGGGTATCAAAATTTACCCAGTGAGTTTCGTTTTTCTTGTCTTCTTTATCTCAGTATCTCATTCATCTTTTACCTACAGTTTGTATGGCAAAAACTCAGTACTCCTTCTCTCACGATGCCAAGCTCAAAGGCGTCCCGACGGGCTTCACTGTTCCCATTCGTGCCATTCGTCTCTCCGCTGGTGCAGGGTTTCTCTACCCTCTTCTTGGTGATATCCAGACTATGCCTGGGCTGGGTACACGTCCAGGATTCTGGGAAATTCATCTTAACGAAAAGAATGGCCAAGTTGAAGGTTTATTCTGAAATGTGATAGATGGTGATACCCTGAACAAGCGGGACTTCAACGTCCCCACCCAAGCTACAATATTAATTCTCTGGATTTTCATGTCCCGCTCAATTTCACACGATAATTGACTAGTTTTTATGTTCGATGGAGCAAAGACATCAGTAATATTTCAAGGCTTGTATATGATAGATGATATTCGTGCTTGGTCTACATTGACGTCTTGCGCCGAGGGAAAAAGATCATGGAAAATATCAACTACATTGGGATGAGTAAGTACGTGAGGGAAGCATCAACAGTCGGGACGAGCATTGCCAAGTCGTAAGCAAAAAAATGAGGTGTCGCAAAGGTACATAGAATGGAAAAAAAAAAGAAGAAAATGAAATATGAAATGAGAACATGTCCACAGAATTACCAGTTAAACCAGGGTGAGGGTGGTCTACGAGAACGACGCCGAGGTGCTTCTTCGTAGTCATCATCATCAGTTGCTTCTTCAGTCACAATTTCGACTGCAGTGGTACGAGGAGCTTCTGTTGAATAGGACAAAGGAACCTCTGGAACAGGCGTGGCGACCCCTCCGACTTTGTTTGGCGGTGGTACGGTGACGGTCTGGGTAACGGTGGCAATGGTGGTTTCGGCAATAACAGGTTTGACAACAGGCGGTGGAAGTTCGTAATGTGGATACTATAGAAAAAAAAGGCATCAGCAAACAGTCAACAGACATAAAGTGATGCAACGTGGTTGGGAAAAGATGATATCCTGTCCGTAAGACAAGTTTTTTTTTTAAAGAAAAACCACGAACTGCAGTGATGGATTAAGGTAGCATAAGGAAATGCTGTCTTAACCCAGACGAAGGAGGGGGGACAGCACGGAATTCATACGGACAGTATATGACTTGGTAAAATGCCGCGTCGCGCCCCCTTCGTCTCACAGGTCAGAACGGCGAGGAAGGGGCGGCGGTACCTTGGCTTTTCGCTTCGCCCCCGCAGGTTCGTAGACGTATTCATCCTCAACAGTTTGTGGATTGTCATTGCCAAGAGCCCTGAGGAAAAAGAAATTAGAAAAATTTTAATCGCTACGCTTTGACCAGGCGGACTTACATAAGTTGTTCCATGATCCATCCCTCACGGCGAGAAGCATCGTGCTCGCGACGGTTAACAGTTTCTTCGCGTTTGCTAATCTCGCGCTCACGTTCCGCAACACGAAGTTCACGGTCAAGAATTTCGTCCGCACGGGGACTGTTCCAACCGGGCGGAGTTAAGGAATCCTCTTTGACGATCTCCTTAATGACGGTCTGGACAGGGAGGCGAAATGGTCTCGATGACAGTGCTAGCCTGGCAAGGAGGACAGACACTGACACCGCCTGGGGCTGCGACGAGAATGTCAGCCTCACGTTTGGCGACCTCTGCCTCGCGTCGGGCAACTTCGCCTTCACGAGTAATGAGCTGCTGAGAGCGCTTGGGACTGATATAGCTGAGAAGAGTGTTGGGGTTGGATTCACCGCCAGGGAGCGGAGATGAGCCCTGGTTAGGTAGAGAGAGCATGATGGCTAAAACAGCCAAGATGAGAGACAAGACGAGAAGAAGCGTTGTTGAAGAAATTGTGCGATGATGGTGATGGGAAGAGCTCGAGCGCTCCCTGTGGTGGCGCTCTCCATGGTGAGAAGAAGAGGGTTGAGCCATCCTGACACTGTCAAAAGCAATGAGCGGAGTTTGAAATCGCGCGAAAAAACTGAGCATCCGCGAAAACTAAACACTTACCTAGCGGAAGAGCTTGGAGATATGCTCGTAGAGGTGTAGGGTCGAAGAATGGACGTTATGGTGGTGTAGAAAGTGCAGGTTACGCGGTGGTAGTGGTCGTGAAAAGCAAGAGAGGATTAGCTTCCGAAGTTCAACTTTCCAGCTCTTTAGCGGCCGCGTGTCTGCCGCGTGCTTCTTTTTTCCCACGGTCACGATGCTACCAACACTTGACTGGTCCTTCCAGGCGCCAATTGTCTCGCGAGTTTGAATAGTTTCTGCCATGTCTCTTCGTCGATTGGCCTCTCGCAACAGTAGAGGTGCAGGCCCTGGCACACCTGTAGAATCTCCTCGGACACCGCGCCGGTCGACCGCCTTTGTCACATCTCCCTCTTGCCTCGCCTTCACTCTCCGAAACGATTCCCTTTGACTGGGAAGCTGCCAGACGTGCTGTTCCAATAACTCCTGACCATCGTCGAATCCCTCGCACGCCAAGAACAAGCGCTGTTGGTACCCCATCTCGTAAAGCCATTGTAAAACAACCAAGTCTAGTCTCACGGTATGTTGTTTTCCTGTTCTTTGTGATTATTTTCTTCAGCTAATAGTAATAATAAATTAGAGTCACGTCAATACCTTCTCAGATTGCTTTTCAATGGTCCATGTTTCCCACATAATATCGACCTTCCACACCCAAAAACAACGGCCTTCATTGTCGCTGGCATCATGCACTTCATTCACTTCTGCGTACGAGTACACCAAATTAGTCAGGTTCCCGATTCTGATGTAGGCTGGGAGGACATGTACCATGAAGGTGGAGGCCTTTCTTGGTTCGACTGGGTACGTTATCCCTGTGCAATGTGTATATCTCAATTCTTATGCTTGGAACAGACAGTGCCCATGTCATTTCCTTCTTGTGCTTGGATCGCTCCTGAACACAGCTTATCTTTTCACTCGTGTAAAACTATATCGACTCCATCTTCAAGCTGACCCAGTCGCATCCCCAAATGCCCGCTTCGTGGAGCGAGATCTGGACTATGAACGTCTTGAACCATCACCGATGTGGAAACAAGTTGTCTCCTTGCTATGGCGTGGATTCAAAATATCCTGGTGCTTTCTCTTAGGCATAGCACCACCTCCAGAGTCTGCCGCTCCTACAATATCTCTCATTCAACAGCTGGAAGTCTGGACACCTGGCGAATTCGAGACCACTCTCTTCTGCGTGTACTCGCCAGCACATTGTCTCATGTGGATGGCCACCAACTCTTCCAATTGGATGATGATGTTTATTGTTATGGGTGTTGTGGGTGTCCAGATACATACCGTATCGTTGAGTTTTAGAGCGTTGTTGAAGGACAAGGAAATCATTGCGTCTCAGGTTATGAACGAGTACAACTATAAGGTCAGTGAAGGCAGTTCCTTGTACCATTTACTCAGTCTCACAGTTCTACTAGTTCGTGAATCCACGAGTAAACCCTATCAGGAAGGACGCTTCAGTGATGACGCACCAGTCAGAGGTTGTGAATGTATGGGAGGATTGACTGGACCCAGTAGTAATATGACAGCTTTTACTACCCGCTTCTCATGAGTTTGGATATCGGAACATGGGATAACTTTCGGTGGCCAATTAGGTACTCTAGAAGTCTTTCGGGTTACATAGGAATCCAGAAAGAAGAGACATAATCTCACACTTGGCCTGCAATTCTGTACAGCCTTCCCAAAAAATGTTCTTTGAAATTCCGTGTACCTATTCACAAAGGACTTCTTGTTTGCACGTGATGCAACTTCTAAGACTCCAGACCAAAAATATTTGCTTCCACTGAGGTTCGAACTCAGAACCCCGGCATACAGTTATCCACATAAGTACCGTGCGCTACCATTGCGCCATGGAAGCCAACACCTAAGTTTCGCGCAGAACCATTTGAGTTAGGCAGCAAACAGAAACGGACGACTGTTCCAAAATAGAGGAATTTATAAACAGCGGTTATAATACACCGAAATCTCAAGAGAATTAGAAAAACAGAGAAGTGCAAAGATTTGGCTCCGAAAGAGAGACCTAGAATTCAACTTGGACAGCCCCTCTTGTGTTAGGTGTAACCTTTTTGCTCTGCTACAGTGTTAACCCAGCGTTAGCAATGCTAGACTGCTTTTTTTTCCACCAAGTCCTAATCCTTCTAGGGGCTATGACTATATTCAGTACAGCTGGATTCGACATTCCACATGCCATTTCAGCCTTTTTGAACCAACGACAGGAATAGATTTAGCCATGAATACTTGAGTCTTTATATCTTGTGTGCCTTTCTTAAGGAAATGCTTTTTGAGTATGCCCCACACACTGCACTGCACAATATTTTCTTTTGGACTGTACAAATGACGATATTGGTGTCTAAAACGTTTCTTGATTTTTGAAGCATCAATTTTATTCGAATGTTTACAACGACCGGATGACCTATCTACCCGGCTGAGGCCGCCAGAGAGACCGGCCGGTTTTTGCCATTGAATCCCAACAATGGTGCACCCACCACCACATGCAACCCGACACGAAACAGGTATCGGTTGCGCCAGTGCAATTTGATGTGGCGCGACTATTACGATTTGTCCTACATAAGCGTCTTCTAAGTTGGCTTTGTCCTTTACCTGTTGAACAGTCTTTTGAACTTGAGAAACAGTTGCACACGACCATTCGGTTCTGAACCATTTGATCAAAAGCAAAGAAGCACACTCTATTCTTCTGTGGAAAAGCTAGAATCACGGATCCATATGTCTATTTGCCCGAACTGACATGTCAACAGTGCGACACAGCGTGGAGTGTTCGCCTTATCTCGCCTTCGCTTCATGCGGTCTGCCCCTCGATGCAGCGACTCGCATCGTTATAAAATGAGCTCAGGCGACGACAAGGACTCCGGTCCTGTCCTCTGCACATCTCCCCGTGATGTCTCCTCCTACATCGCGTCCTGCCACTGGTCATTACCAGAAGCGGACCTCCCACTTTCAGGATTATGAGAAGAGATCTCTCTCTGACTCGGAGAAGGGTTTAACGAATGACCTTCTGGTGGCTGTCGCAGAGGCCCTGCCAGATTTCGATGATCCCAACTGGGACCAGGAAGCGGGTATTGAGGGCGTCATGGGTACGTCCGGCAGCGCATCGGAATATCAGACAGTCTTATTCTTTTTTGCAGAGGACGACTCCCCCTATCCTGAGGTCCGCTCGGCTGTCTCAAATACGGACGACCCAGACATCCCGGTTGGAACACTGCGAGCATGGGTTCTTGGAATAATCTGGGCTATTCTTCTTCCAGTAAGTGACATTTTTGCTGCGAAATAAATGAATTCCGTACTCAACTAAACCTCCAGGGTCTCAACCAACTGTTCTTCTTTCGATACCCGTCTGTGGATCTGACGAGCATCGTCGCTCAGCTGGTTTCGTTCCCAATGGGCAAACTATGGGCAGCGGTCGTACCGAATGTCAAGATATTTGGTATCTCTCTCAATCCTGGCCCATTTACAGTGAAGGAGCATGTTTTGGTAACTATCATGGCCAGCGTAGGGTGGCAATCGTATGTTTGGTCCTCGATATTTTAGAATTTCCGCACTCATATCCCCAACAGAGCATATGCAACAGACATTGTCGCAGTTCAGAGGATCTTTTACAACCAGCGGTTTAGCTTCGCGTACCAATGGATGCTTGTCATGTCTACTCAGATGATAGGTTTCAGCATTGGTTGGTTCTCATGATAGAAGCCATTTCTATCCATACTAAGCCCTCTTTAGGTGGGATCGCAAGACGTTTTCTTGTCCAACCACCGTCAATGATTTGGCCGGCCACTCTAGTCTACTGTGCACTTTTCAATACCCTTCATTCTGCTCAATACTCTGGCATGGGCAGCCGCGGAGGTATTACAAGAGAACGCTTCTTCCTCTACGTCTTCATCGGTTCCACCGTCTGGTACTTTGTTCCGGGATATCTCTTCACCGCGCTTAGTTACTTCAAGTATGTGAATCCGACTGTTTCTTACCGCTTCCCAAAGCTGATGTTTCGACCAGCTGGGTTTGTTGGATTGCCCCCGACAACGTCATCGTCAATCAACTTTTTGGCGAACAAACCGGTCTCGGGATGAGTCTCCTCACCTTCGACTGGGCCCAGATTGCATACATCGGTTCCCCATTGGCTACACCTTGGTGGGCTGAAGCCAATATTCTCGGTGGATTTGTGTTCTTCTACTGGTTCCTCGCCCCACTCTTTTACTATACCAACACTTGGTACGCCAAGTACATGCCTATGTCTACTACTGGCTCCTTTGACAACACCGGAGCACCATATAACATCACCGCTATCCTCAATCCCGACGCGACGTTCAATCAGGAGAAATACGAAGCATATAGTCCTATTTTCTTGTCGATGAGTGAGTGAACGTCTTATATTCACTCTACCATACTGACGATGGTCCCCAGCTTTTGCTCTCTCCTATGGCATTTCTTTCGCGTCTGTCACGGCGACAATCACTCATACCATTCCTATTCTATCGCAAGCAACTTTGGGGACAGGCTCGCAAGTCCATGCACGAACAGCCAGACATACATGCTCGCTTGATGAGCCGCTACCCTCAAGTTCCTCAATGGTTCGTTGTGTTCGTTCTGCTACAATTCGATGTTCATCGTTCTTTACAGGTGGTATGCCATAATCTTCTGCCTGATGTTCATGTTTGGAATCCTCGTCATCGAGCTCTGGGATACAAAGTTCCCGATCGGCTGGTTTGTTGTAGCACTCCTCATCTCCTTTGCCTACTGCATTCCGGTTGGTATGATCCTGGTGAGTTCATCCAGTGTGCGTCTACTTGTAAGCTGAACAGTAGGTTAGGCAATTACCAACCAGCAAGTCGGTCTTAATGTGATCACGGAGCTCATCATTGGCTACGCGCTGCCCGGACGCCCAATAGCAATGATGATGTTCAAGACTTGGGGATATATTACAATGTCCCAAGCGCTGCAATTCACAGCAGATTTCAAGCTGGGTCACTATATGAAAAGTCAGTTACTAATCGATGGATTAGTCCTTGGATTCTAATGTGACCGTTTTCAGTTCCTCCAAGGCAAATGTTCTTCGCACAAATCATTGCCACGGTGATCGCTGGGACGACTCAGCTCGGTGTACAAACGTGGGTATTCTCAAATATTCCCGGTGTTTGCACACCAGATCAGCCCAATCTTTTCACCTGTCCTGGAACCGAAGTTTTTGGTGTTGCTTCGTTCGTTTGGGTATGTTATTTACTTATCTGCCCCCCTAAAAAATTATATCTTACACGTTTCAGGGTGTTATTGGTCCAGAAAGGCAATTCTCCAAAGGCCAGATCTATGAAAACCTTGTCTGGTTCTTCCTCGTTGGAGCTATCGCTCCAGTCATAACCTGGCTCATTCATAAGAAATGGCCAAATAGTTTTATCCGCTATGTCAACTTCCCAGTCGTCTTTACTGGTCTAGGTCTCATTCCTCCCGCGACGGCGCTCAACTATGTTCCCTGGGCGATTGTTGGGTTCTTATTCCAGTATATCATTCGCCGAAGACATTTCTCTTGGTGGACAAAGGTATATAGTCTCTTTTAGCATTGTTCCAAAATTCGCTAACATATGGGATAGTATAATTACACCCTCTCAGCAGCACTTGATTCTGGTGTTGCAATTGGCGTTGTTCTTGTTTATTTTTGCCTTCAATTCCCCAAGAATGGCACTATAGGAGCCGGGAGTATCCTATCATGGTGGGGTAATACGTTTTATGCAGAGGGCACGGCTGACGGGCGAGGCGATCCTCTCATTAAACTAGGAGATGGGGAAATATTTGGCCCAACAGAATGGCATTGAGGTTTCACGGATAATAGCACACACGTCGTTCATGCACATCATCAACCTGTTGTATTATAGCGCAAACTGTAGACAAATATCATGTAAAAAGCCCTGCCCGAACAGCAATATCCTTTCAGCTTCTGAAATTCAAAATTGCAACAAATCTTTGGCAAAGAGTATTGACAAAAGTAGGTCAACAGGCCGTTTGGGCTGATACAACCCACAAGCATACGAATAACGCCTCTAGTGGCCGTTCAAGAGGCAAGAGGGAATCGGCGATTGTTCAAGTCCGGTATGACGCGCAAACAACTTGGACAAACTCATGCAGAAAGTTAAAGAATACTTTCTTCATCCTGTGAGCTTGGTACAACCTCATCGTCGGCTTCATTCACGACTGCTTCTCCGAGATCGAGAGGGCTGATCTGAGAAGCTGTTGGGAATACTTGCTCAGATTCTAGAATGTTGCGGGATTTGTCAAGAGATGGTTCTCCCCCAAACTGGGTAACCATTCCGGGATCTTCTGGTGAGGAGACGAGGGGAGATGGGGTCAAACTGAGCTCAGAAGGTCGATATGATTGACTGAGAGTTTGTTCGACGACTTGCTGTACGACAAAACCACCAGCGGTAATGATGTAGTCAAGTGCTGCTGGTGGTCCAACGGAGCTGAACACGACGTTTAACCGTCGCAGTAGGACATCTTCCTCGTCATTCAACGACTGCGGTTTGAGGTACGTTTCCCCAATCTTTGCCCTTTTAGAAGACGAAATCTCAGATATACGTATTCGGCGGCGCGTCCGAGAAAGAAATATTCGCGCATTAATCTGATTTGCCCACACCAGGCCTAAGCTGGCTTCCTTGCTGCTCCCGCCAGGGACAGCATACGGGCGGTTAAATAGATGTGAATGCTCGCTGTATAGAAGCTGTGAGTTTGGGTTTGCAGACCCGTCATTATTAGAAGTATGGGCGAATACATCCACTACTTCATTTATAACGACGACGGCTATCTTGTGCTCGTTCAGTAAAGCATGAAGTGTGGTCGTGATTGAAGTCAACTCTT